ACTGAGATTGAATTTTCAAGTTTTTGAGAGAGGCTTAGCTTCCTCTGACGAGCCGCCACTGTGATAATTTGTATACGAGTTGGTCAAAATCCCAGAAAAACTCGTAAGGTCTACTCAAAATCACTGAAAATCTTTTAGCCTCCTCACTTGAAATAGTCACGAGCCGCCACTGATGCTCAAAGTCATAACTGTTGAATAGATTACACAGAGTAGGACTGCTTCTCTTTGAGGAGTGTCAACATGCATGTTGAAGTCCGCAGCCAGCCCAACGTGATTTTGTTTATCAAATCTTCTTAGAAGCTCATCAAATTTAATTGAAAACGTGTCAAAGCACCCTACAGGAGGCCTATAAATAGCTGAAACAAATAGATTAAAATTATTTATAAAAACACAGCGACTTTCGATACATTTTTCAACATTAAAATTACAGTCAATAGACTGGACATTTAAAAAATCTAGAGTGAAGATAGCAGAACCACCACCAGTGAAGAGCTTTCGTGAAAATTATGCCCTGCAGCTGTAGTTATTAGTCGTTGAAACTGGTTTTCCTTCTCTTTCGTCCAGTGTTCAGTTATACACACAATATGCGGTGCCTCCTCAGCCAAAACAGCCTCCAGCGGATTAATCTGTGGTTGAGTCAGGGTGACATTTTGTCGAGTAGGTACCTCTGCTGGGTTCGGGTCGTTTTCCTTTGCTTTTTCTCTTGACCAATTTCCACTAACTTAAGGTACGGGATTGGCTTCTAGGGAAGCTGTTAAGGCACTTTTTTTAGGTCTGTGTTTGTAGTCCAGAAACGTGCAATTAGATATATCTGTGGGGCCAAGAAACCTCATTCATGCAGAACTTATTTCTTAAACAAAACATCATGATTCTTCTCTCTATCTTTGTGTTGGAATCTGGATGCCTGATGCACAGAAAATACTCTACCAATATTCACTCCCGTATGTTGGTCAATCAATACCACATTTGTTTTTACAATTAATCTATTGATTATTATTATTATGTAGAACTCTTAGGGCCGGTATCATAAAGCTGGTGAACCGAAGGTTGAGTTTCAACCAGCGGTCGAACTGACATATTCGTATGATGATATATGGACATTTCAGTTCAACCGCTGCTGGTTGAAACTCAACCTTGGGTTCACCAGCTTTATAATACCGGCCCTTAGAACAATTAATTATTTAAACAAAAAATTCGTATTATTACGGGTAAAATAGTGATGATTATCTAGATTTTGACTTTTGATTTGATTTCTTAATTTTTTATATATTTTGCTCGATATTTTGTTATGTGAGTTTCAGAAAGACACAAAATTAATGTCAAGGGGATTTTTTTCCATTCTTTGAAATAATTGGCCAGTCTACTAAATTGTGGGAAATTTCCATTAATTGAAGTATTTTCTTAAATTTAAATGAAAATTACCAATTGACTCATACAATTAATAAAAATCCTAATAAATATGCCATCATAAAAAGAACCGCCAGAACATAAAAAAGTAAACAGATCATCTCTTTGTTAAGTGCTCATATCTGCAAAATATCAAAGATCCATAAGTATGTTTACATTAATTTGTCTTAACATCTTAAAGCTATAAATTATATATTTTTTTTTATTCGACAGCTGAAATAATCGTAATAAAACATAAACATAGTTTCCAATTCTTCGAACTCATTTATGTATTTGTTCAGAACACAAGGCCCATAAATCTTCTAGGTTTTCAGGCATGGGAACGTATGAAATAAAGATAAAGCTTTTTTTCAAATGTTATTTATCGCAAGACAAATATTAATAATAACACAAAACCATAAATAGAATTCTCAAAATGTCTTGGTATTGTGTATTAGACCAGGCAAATTTCAATAAAATGTACGATGAATGTGAAGTTTTTGCGGACAGTTATTTTTTTGTTGAAAACGATAGCTCTCTTATCATACAATACAAATCTAAAAATCCCAAAAAATCGGAAGTGAGCTAAAAACGCCATCTTGAAAAACATGGCCGTGCGTTCAAATCTATAAAAATTAATTATCTTCTTGTCCCTTGGAACAATTTTAACATTTTTTTTTTATTTTCACGGAATTTTGAGCCTAAAATTACAAAAAAAAATTAACTTTGATTTTAGATAGATAGATTTCCTGAAAAAAAAATGAAAAACGCTAGATTTCTCATCCATTCCTGTACTTGAAGATAATACATGTCCAGAAAATACAGGAAAAATTATTTGCTATTAATGTAATCACCATTTGCAGATTTTTTAGGCCGCATGGAAAAAATGAAATTCAATTAATACAATTAGGTACCTACTTAGAAAACGATTTAGAGAAAACAGTTGTTCAACGTTAGCTACTGCAGATGCGAACACATTAATTGTAAACACAGCTATTAGGTACCTATAAGAACTACATGTATAGTACAGCTAACCTATTGTGCACTTTTTGATAAAGGCACCAAATTTGGCACAGAGGTAGACCGATGTAATATGAACAAATTTGGATGTGAAGCCATCACCCAACTGCCCCCCGGCGGCCGTGGCGGCGATTTTTTAAAATGGCTGAAAGACAAGGGAAGTAAGATAAAGTTTGCTACTGAAGGTTTTGGTGAATGTTTATTGATTACAGGGTGGGGCACGAAAAACTTGTCCCACCTAGATTTTCTCAGGTTGTAGGTGATTAATCAAAAATCGCTCGGACACGTTATTTTTTGTTTTTTGCTGGACACATTTTATTGGTATTTTCACCCTCTATCCGCAAAATTTCAAATGGAAAGGGGGTTCGAGTGATAATGTACTACATATTTCTTAACTTTGACGAGCCGCCTTTTCGTCAGGGACTATTTACCCTGCCGGAACTAAAATTTCGATGATATACTGTGTGACAAAAAAAACGCATCACCTCATAGAAGTATAAATATTTGTTGACCAAATTCTCTACATATGCTTGGGCTATTAGGAGTTACATTTAATTTATTGAAAAATATAAAAATAGAGTAACATTTAATCCATAATTGTTATTTTCTACACCATTAACATAATATGTAGAAAATTTGTTGAAAAATATACACTTTTAGTGAGTGATGCGTTTTTTTTTGTCACATAGTATATAATATTCTTATAGACCGTCAGCTAATGTCAGATTTTGCTGACCGATTTTCTCTCTTCAGGGATTTCAACCACTGAAAATTATGTTAGTGCTGAGCTCAAAAAATGAAAATTTACCGACCGGACGGACATATGCGGACATAGCGGCCGTAAAATATACTTTACCAGTTGACCGGCTTATGGGAAGTTCTTTTATGGTTCCTAACGATATCAAATTTGATTCTGCCGATTACCATAAGCGAGAAAACGATCAGCAACCGAATATTCTTACACAAGATCGCGCCCCTATTTCAATCCTTTCAGTATGTGCAAACCTTATAGCTTTGGTTTTTCATTATTAGATTGTTCTATAAGGTTAATGTGTTAAAATGACATGAAAGAGAAATTGAAAAAGTAACCTATTTTCTTCTGCAACAGGAAAATATATTTTCCATATGCCTAGCACACGTCCGGTCGCTAAGTTTTAATTTTTTGAGCTTAGCACTGACATAATTTTCAGTGGTTGAAATCCCCGAAGAGAGAAAATCGGTCAGCAAAATCTGTCATTAGCTGAGGGTCTATTAATAAAAACTTTCCATCAAATGATGTATCACTCGACCCCCCTTTCTATTTGAAATTTTTGGGGGTACCTGTCTCCCCCGCTTAGAGGCTGACAGGTAGGGGGATGAAAATACCAATAAAATGGTCGATTGATTTTTGATTATCCACCTTACATCTGAGAAAACCTGGGAGGGAAGTTTTTCGTGCTCCGCTCTGTACACACAAGGTGTCGCATGACGTTTTACCCAGGTGATAATTTCGGAACGCGTCATCCAATATAATTGAATTTTTGAGGATCTGAGTAACTTTTTGTGCCGCTTCTACATGCGTCATGCATCCAATTTCACTTTCGCTTCAGTTTTGGTCAAATGACGGCAACTTTAGAATCTTATAAATGTAACTGATGGTACTACATCATTTTTCGTTAGAAAATTCTATTACAAAATCAGCAATGGCATATTTGCCAAGGCTTTGTTAAAGAAAATGATGAAAAATTACAAAGTACAACATTCGATGACGCGTTCCTAAGTTATCATGTGGGTAAAACGTCGTGGAACATCCTGTATATACAGGGTGGGGCACGAAAAACGTCCCACCCAAGTGTTAGGTGATTAATCAAAAACCACTCGACTGTTTTATTTTAAACTGATGACAAAATAAAAATGTGTAGGTTCACAAGTCGGCTGCTGCAGGTCTATATGCCTTCACTGCCATGGAATAGACTTCAAATATGCTTGTGTTCTAGACGAGGATCTTTTCAATGATTGAGTTTTTGTTTCGTTAATTTTTTTGTAATTTTAAGCTCAAAATTCGTGAAAAAAAAATTCTAAAATTGCTCCAAGGGACAAGAAGATATTTGATTTTTAAAGATTTGAACGGACGGTCATGTTTTTTTAAGATGGCGTTTTTAGCTCACAGTGGATTTTTTGGGATTTTTATGTATTTGTTCCTGGACATATAATACATTGATTTCCATTGAAAAAAACCTGTCCCCTTGAACTTCATTAAAAAAATAAGATTTGCCTGGTCTATATGTATTTGACACTAACTGAAACCAAGAGATTTCAGCGGGCCTCTTATTTTGTTGCTTTGCGGTATTGAAAAGACTATTCCTTTAAATTTATTAACGTGAAAAGTTTTCTTGATTTAAGAGTGTGTGGTCATTTTTGGTTACAACATTGTTTTTTTTTTCAATTTGTATGTAATACAACTTGCATTATTTAAGACTATTAAATAACTTCCACAAAGCTTTCCTCTTTAGAGATAACAATAGCATCGACCAAAGTTACTCTATTTATTATAAAAGTCTTTTATATTATTAACGCGTATACCTACCACCTACTACACCAAAAATTCTTTTCAGGCCGAATTAATCCATCTCCGTGCCGAATTGATCGATTCGAAATCGAAAAAGGAAATATTGGAAAATGAGCTGCACAATATATTGCTTCAGCTACATTCGTCACAATTATCGCAGCTGCCTGAGAGTTTAGGCAACAAGAAGTTGGATCAACATTTTAAACCCGATGTTAGTGCAATCAAAAGGCGACTGGAAGCTGAAATACGACAGAGTCCTTTACGGATTCGAAGAAGTGGTGAGTTTTTCATAGTACATATTTATTGCGTTCTCGGAAAAAGCTTTAATAGTTATTTATGATATAAGTGCTAAAAGTGACATTTTATTTTGTGAAAAGGGAAGTTTGGGACAGGACGCCGAAGGCGGAGTGTTCCATCCCTGAACAAAATAAAATCACTTTTAGCACGAATATCATACACTATTTTTTCTACAAACGCACTAAAAGTTATTACTTTTAGCACTAGTGCTAAAAGTAATCACTTTTAACACCAGTGTCATAAAATGGCATTTTAGACACTGACAGCATCCGTTAAAAATTACACTTTTAGTGACGTTTGTAGAGAAAGATATTTTTGGTCATTTAAATCACAAAATGGAAACCAATTCCTGAATATTCTCACACCTGTCGTGCATAGTGGCGTCGGCTTTCCAGCAGCAATGTTATTCGTAACAATATAAAGCTTATTTATTTTCCAGTTAGACCTACATTTAGCACAAAGGTTGGTTATTCTGTTACCAAAGGGCACTTTATTTGAGACTCAATTTTAACTTTTGCATATCTATCTAAAATCTCATCATTTAAGTCGGAAATTAGAATTCCAAATATGTATTATCATTATTAAATCAGCTTTCTGGAATCATTTGTTGACGTTATTACTGACACAGATAGATTATCGCTAAATTATAAATCTATTTTCAATAGTAAGTTGTTGTCGTTGTTCTCGTCCCTTCTTCTGCAGCTGGAAAAATGCCTGTATGAGGCTAATCTGCACAACTTTCATAGTTAGTTGTTCTTGAAGAATATAGTGGTTTCTTTACTACGGCATTTGTAGCATTTAGAGAGTTTAGTTGAGGTTTTTTCTCTATTGACTGACTGATGTTTCAGAGAAAATATACTGTTCAAGACATAGACAACTTGGTTGCTCAGAAGATTCAACTGTCAGCTTTGTTCTCTGAGATTTTTGCTGTTGGTCTGGAGAATGTCGACTTTCACAATGTAATAGCCACTAAGTATTGTATAGATTTGAAACTGATCACCTCTTAAGCGGAATGAGTCCGAAGTTTAAGTGGATGTGGAAGGTCTCTGAGTATAGGATAGATTCTAGACACTCTTCTCGGGACACCCTCCACTGGAGGTCCTGTAAATTTAAAAAGATATCTGTATAAAGTATACCAGGCCTAGAGATGGAAAATTCTCGAGAATAATAAAAAAGAGAATATTCTCGAGAATATTCTCAAATTTGAGAATTTTATGAGAACGTCCTTTTGAACTGAGATCAACTTAATTATAACCAATTATTACGCAAAATTATGACTATATCAGGTTCTCAGGTAATCAAATTTTACTACTTTTCTAATGCATTAAAGGGGGTGTGACCCTGAAAAACGACTTAAGCTACTTAAATCAAGAAAAAAATTCTAAGATCTCTCGTGAAAACCACACTCCTATATTCAAAACAGTCTCCGAGAAAATTCCTTGTGAAGATCAATTATGCAGGAAATTGTGATGTTACAACCGCCGAAATCGCAGTCTTGGTCGGTCAGTCGTCAGTGAACCGTACCCTATACTTTGAGTAGTTGCAATTCGCTCTAGGAGATGATTATCTTTTGTTTTGGAGAATTTTCACACATGTTAATACTATCCCTGAAAATCCAGTGTGGCGTCACAAACGCCTAGTTGTAACTTTAAACCGCCCTAACTCGAAAACGGACCATCGTAGCAAGATGCGGTTTGAATATTTATTCTTAGATGTTTTTGCACTAAAACTTTCATTTTTGGGTCACACCCCCTTTTTAAGTGAAATCCAAAATTGAAATATAAAATTACGTCTTGAGTCTTAACCATGTTAAGATTGTCATAATTTTCCATTTTCGACCCCTAAACAAGAGAGGAAAATGTTTCTTTTCCTCCTGCTATGGGCGCATTCTTTTTTCTGATGAGGCGATGGGCAGTCTATATTTGTCTAGTATGTAGGAATTTGGAACAACTGACTCATGTCATGAGGATATGATGAACACAAATTCAAATTCTATTCTGGTAACTAGCGAGAGTGACCCCTCTCAAGCCAAGGTTTTGAAACTTGACGTCATCATTTCTGATTTGAAAATGTGAATACAAAAAGAGTCGAGACTTGTGTCTGACTAGAAAACACCTAAAACTAGGGCCTAATCGACTTTTTGTATTTGCCAGTAATTGCTAGTGAAGGTAGAATTCCTTGCCAGTAATTTTACAAAGAGCAGTTGGCAACACTGGTTTCGTGTTACGTAAATGCGACGCGGTTAGATGGGGTGGGAGAATGTTACCGTGCGAGAATTTTCTAGTAGAGAATATTCTTGAGAATTTTCTAGTAGAGAATATTCTTGAGAATATTCTCGTTCTCGAGAATATTCTTTTGAGAATATTCTCTCCTCACATCTCTAACCAGGCCCTTGGCTTTTCTGGCGTGATGGGTTGCAGAAGATTTTGATGTGGAAGTTAAATGTTGGAGGAGGGGCCGCAGTAGTTTTTCGTGACTTGACAAATGCTTGTGACTGTGCCTGTCATGAAATGCTGCAAAACTTGAAATCTACGGCTCTAGAGCTCTAGGGGTAACATCTTTTACTGATTCAGGTCATATCTGAGAGCGTCTGCTCAAATATAACTGTGGGCGTTGCCCTGGGATCTATTCTGGGGCCTTTGTTGTTTTAATTGTATGTGAAAGATCTTCCACCTAGTGTTTAGGGCAGCAAATGTTCATCATTTGCTGAAAACACCACAATTGTTTGGCACCATAAGAATCCCACGATGCTTGAAAATATTATAAACATGAACGATGACCTAATTAGAAATAACAAGCGGTGTGACTGTAATCAATAATAATTATCATTCAATGTATCAAGGACTACATAGTGTTTTAAATTTCAAGTGTGACTTGCATGATGTTTTTTTTTTTTGGATAATGATAAGATTACTAACTTATGTAACAATAGATTTTTGGTTTCGTTTATTGATAATATGCTTTAATTTGACATACATAATACATGTTGAAAATATTTGCAACAAATTATCATCTGGGTGCTATGCCATAAAGACTATTAAGCACAAATTAGATATGTCAATAGCCAGGAATTGTTTCTGGGCAAGGGAGAAGCTGACGATGAGGACACGGACCATCATTATTTTTTGGATTAGGCAATTTTGACAAGAACATTTGATCAGTTGTGTTGCTCAATATTCCATCTTTTCGTCGGAAAATAGATGAATTGTACATTTTTCTTGACTCGTTAAACTATTCAACTATAGTTCTCTTGACTGAACATCGGTTGATTGAAAATGAACCACTAGTGTTTCAAATTATGTTGTGATAAGTAAATTTTGTAGGGCTGCGTATGAAAATGGTGGTACTGTAACACTACACTAATAAATTGATCTTTGCACTTTGAGGCTTGTACAAGATTTGACTGCCTAGTTCAGGAAAGACAATTTGAATTTTCAACGGTTTATTCGGATAAGTTCAACATGTATGTGATCGGCTTGTACTAACTATAATAATAATAATAATAATAATAAATCGTCTTTATTCAGCAAATTCTTTACAAAAATTTTCCCCAAGAAGGCGAAGATTAGCTTTAAGCTATTCTTTAACTCTTAACCTTCTTAGTTTACATTATAAGAACAAATATATAAATAAAATAACATTTAATTTAACATCTTATGCAAGAAAAGGAAAAAAAAAAAAAAGAGAAGGAGAAAATTCTATGCCAGTGCTTAAAGATATAATTTGGAAATAAATATCGAAACAAAACAGTAATAAAATAATATGAATAAATGAAACAAAAGAATCAAAACAAAAAACATCCCAGCATCACTACGCAACCTGTGCTTCCATTAGCATAGTTTTTATCATTTTTCTTAATGAATTAAGAGACAAGTCAATAAATCAGGTTTATATTTATTGTAAAGACTTACAGCGTTATATGTGAAAGATCGTTCGAATAGGGCAGTAGAGTGGTGTGGCATCGTAAGCAGATTAAATCTTAGAGGACGATCATGTATTAAGTTTCTGAAAATCAATTTCTCGTGAAGGTAGTTAGGCTGATGAGTTTTAAGTAAGCGATACAAAAAAGTCAGATACTGCAGTCTAAATAAACCAAAGATCTTTAGCCAATTTAAGTCATAAATATGTTGCGACACATGGTCGAATTTTCTTAAGTTACATATAAAACGGCAGCATGTATTCTGTACTCTCTGCAAACGACACTTGGCAACTCCATCTAAGCAAGGATAATACACAATCATGCAATAGTCAATAATTGACAAAACAAGTGATTCACAAAGTTTTTTCCTAGTTTTATAATTTAAAACACTTTTGTTTGCATAGAGCATACGCATACGTAAGTAGCACTTCTGCAAAATCATACCAACATGCCCCCCAAATCTAAGAAAGGTATCGATGTTCAAACCAAGACTTCTAAGGTCGTTAGAAAAGGTAAGATTTGCACCATCTAACTCTAGTACAAGAGATTCTGCAACCTGAGCACGCCGATTTCGGTTCGCGAATAGAACAGCTTTAGTCTTACTTGCATTTATTTGCAAATTATGTTCTCTGGAATAACGCGATATTTGCCGCAAATCAGCAGTAAGCGACTCCGAGGCCAGCCGTACATCATCAGGGTCAAAACAGTGGACAATCTGAGTATCATCGGCGTATAGAAAAGTGTCAGAATGATTAACTATTTTGGGTAGATTAGGAGGTATAAATTAAAAATAAAAGCGGCCCAAGTATTGAGCCCTGGGGCACACCTGAGATAATGGATTTGTAATCAGACTGTTCATTGTTGACCCGAACTCATTGAGCACGTTCCGAGAGGTAAGACATAAAAAGAGACATACTAATTTCATCACAGCCATAGTAATGTAACTTAGCCAACAGCAGGTCGTGATCAATGACGTCAAAAGCCTTGGAGTAATCCAACGCTATTAACACAACGGCAAGCTTTTTATCCATCGCACGTATTATATTATCTGTGATATTTAGA